CTTCACTCACTCCTTCTCCATATCTCCACTTCCACTGAATTTTGTAGCACAGTCCTCTCTCCGTCAGGCTTCTCTCCCTAACCTGTCCCCTTATCGTTGGCTAGTCCTTCTTTAGCCAGGCCATTAAAGTTAGCTCTTTCAGACACAGTTCTAGATTCTCTTATTTCTGTATATATTTTTTTTCTCAGAATTACCTCATTAACATTAGTGACAGCATCCACTACTGTTGGTCTTAATGGACACGATTCACAATTCCTTTCCTACCAAAGTTTTAAACCAACTGAGAAATGCCAACTTGAGCAGGCATCAAGCTATCAATTTTATTATGTGTAATGCTGAATTGGAAAATGCAGTCTTGATTCAAGTCCAAAATGAACTTCTCACTTAACACTCTTCTTTCTTCCAACTGGTCTTATTCACTTAACCACAGGCAGACTAATTTGTCAGCTGTAGGTGTTGGCCTCTTCAGGAAGATAGGACTTGCCAGGGGCTTTCCATAGAGAGAAGGGTAGAACAGAAAGGGCTATAAATAGTCCCCCAAAGGGGAATAAATGTGCATGAGCAGAGACTGGCAATGTGTAATCCTACCCAAAAGAGAAACAGGGACTCAGGTCTGTTAGACTTTTGTCATTTCTCTTAACCAAATGAATCAATCTAATTCTTGTGTGTGTGTGTGCATATGTGTGTGTGTGTGTGTTTATGTGTGTGTGTGTTGGGGGAAATAGTAAGGTGAGTAAAGACAAAATTCTTCTATTTTAATTTTTTTTTTGAGAAAGCAAGGTTTCTATCACATAAACCTGAAGAAATCCAGAGAGAGAAGATAACTTCTCCAATTATGACCTGTACTGAGTTAGGTTCACAGATATTTATCTTTACTCAAAAACGCTTCAGTAAGCTACAGATTTGCTTGTTTAGTTTTTGACTTGATATCTCCCTTTGGATGTATCAAATGCAATTGAAACTCAGCATGCTCCTAAATCATCATACTAATAAACTAGTATTTAGTTATTACTATGAGTTTGACACTGTGCTAATAGCTTTGTGAAGATTATCTCATTAGATCTTCCTAACAACTTTTTAAGGTAAATGGGTGGGGTCATTAGTAAGATCAAGCATACAGAGTTTAAGATCATACTACCCATCAGAGGTGGATATGGGGTCAAAACCGAACAGCCTTACTTTAGTACTGTTAGCTTCTGTGTGATTTGGCCTTCCTAACCTACATCATAACTGTTCTCTTCAATTGGGTCAAAGAAGTTATACCCATCCAAAAATACAACAAGCACCCATGGTGTCACTTTTGTAAATGTCCCATTGTCATCAAATCCTGTAGATAATGTCTCTTAAACTTCTACTGTCCATTCAGGGATATCCATGCCTATCACCATCATCTAGTAATTTATACAAAGTTCCTCTCTGTTTTGGTTGGACCACTGCATTATACTTTCCAACTGGTGTTACTACATCTATGTCTGGTCCCTTCCAATCCGTTTTTCACATTGTATCCAGAGTGGTCATGCATGCCCAAATTTTCCAATTTAGAAAACATTGGTAGTTCTCCAGCACTCTCAGGATGGAGATAAAGCCACTTAGCAAAATCTACAGATCTCTTTAGGATCTAGACTTCCTTAGTTCCTTCATCTGCCTCTGCCTCATTGGCCTGCTTATTTTCCACTCCCTGGTCACCTTTTATTTCTTAAATGAGTTATGGTTATTCCCTATTTGTCCATGCCCTCTGTGTGAGATCTTTCTAGCACAAACTTTCACTCATCCATATTACCTTAGATGAGCTCTTTTCTCACTAGAAAAGACTTCTCTGCTGTCAAACCAGGTCAAGCTTTCAGTTTTACTCCTCTTATATAGTGCCACTCCATACCCAGGAAATCATAATCATTATAATTTATTCTTCTGTGTGTATTTATTTAAAAATTTTTTCTCCTTCCCTCTAGATTTTAAATTTAAGACACAGGAGGCCTTGTCTGGTGCTGTTGTATGTTACATCTCAAGTGTCTAATCTAGTGTCTTGCACATTATAGTTGATCAATAAATGCTGATTGGATATTTTATGATGACAATGATAGCTAATATTAGTTGTGTACTGTCTATATGGCAGGCGTTGTGCTGTAGTGCTTAACATAGATTGTCATTCATTTCTTACAAAGAAATGAGGAGATAATTACTCTGTTTATCCCTCATTGTAAAGATGAGGAAATTGAAGATGGGAGAGGTAAGGCACCGTGCCTGGAAATACTAAATGTCAGTGCCAGGTCACAGATCCAGTTCTGTGTGATTGTTTACAACGAGGCACTCTCATCTCTGGAACATCATCAATTAATGGTCTATTTGTTTTAGAACTTGAAAGAAGAAATTAAACCTTCAGCTATTCATTGAAAAGCACTAATCCTTATTGCATATATTTTAGGAGCAAACCTCACTTGACTGAGACAAAATTCATTTGTGACCATATTAAATGTAAGTTTATACAATTAGGAATATGAAGAGAGAATCTACAGAATGGGAGAAAAATCTTTGCTAGCTACTCTTCTGATAGAGGAGTAATATCTAGAATATGTGATGAGGACAAAAAAACTTTACACCAAAAAAAAAAAAAACAGATAACCCACTTAGTAAATGGCCAAATTGAATTAAACAAATACTTCTTAAAAGAAGAGATATAAATGGCCAACAAATACACACAAAAAATGATGTATGTCATTAGCAATTAGGGAAATAAAAAATTAAAACTACACTGAGATTTCATCTCACAGCAATCAGAATGGCAGTCATTAGAAACACAAATAATGGTAAACGCTGGAAAGAATGTGAAGAAAAGGAGCACTTTTACACTGTTAGTGGGACTGGAAATTAATATATCTGCTGTGGAAATTATTATGGAAGTTCCTCAAAAATCTGGGAATGGAACCATCATACAATCCAACTATAACACTTCTTGGTGTTTATCTTGAAGAATTAAAGTCATCATCCTACAATGCTACATACATGTCCACATTTATAGCAGCACAATTTGCAATTGCCAAACTATACAACCAACCTAGGTGTCCACTAATGAATGAATGGATAAAGAAAATGTGGAGTTTTATTTATTTTATTTAGAAACCTGAAATTATGTCATTTGCAGGAAAATGGAACTAGAGACTATTAACGTTAAGCTAAATAAGTCAAACTCAGAAGGTCAAGAGACTTATGTTTTCTCTCATATGTGGAAGCTAGAAAGGAAAAAGAAAGAGAAAGGTGGGGGTAGATCTCATGAAAATCAAAGGGAGATCAGTAGAGGAAAGGGACCAAGGAGTTGGAGGTAGGGAGGTAGGGTCCAAGTACTGCAAGTGATATTGGCCAAATTATATTATTATATTATGTGCAGGTATAAATATGTAACCACAAATTCCATCATTATGGACAACTATAATTCACCAATAAAAATGTGGAAAAATGTAAGTTTTCATATTTCTGATTTTTTGAGTGGTGTAGTATAGTGAGAAAACCCAGACAACCCAGTGCCAATAATCCAGTGCTCTAGGACATACTGTTGGGGACAGGAAGGACCACAGCATGAGAAGGAAGGGATGCAGGCAGGAATTAGAGCAATGTAAATTGTAAGAGGACAGAATCTGAAGTTAGGTGGAAAAGCTGAAAGAAGCTTCACTTGGTGGGTTCATTCCATTAAGCCTACCCTCTGGAGGAGAATCTGCTTATGGACACAACAGACTAGAGAAATAATTTGATGAAGAGTTTGCAGAAGTAAAATCTTTTTTTTTAATTTTTTTATTGATTGTTCAAAACATTACATTGCTCATGATATATCATCTTTCATACATTTGACTCAATTGGGTTTTGAACTCCCATTTTTACCCCAAATACAGATTGCAGAATAACATCTGTTACACACTCACATTTTTACATAATGCCATATTAGTGACTGTTGTATTCTGCTACCATTCCTATCCCCTACTATCCCCTCTCCCCTCCCCTCCCCTCCCATCTTCCCTCTCTACCTCCTCTGCTGTTGTTCAATTCTCTCCCCCTTTTTTATTCCCTCCCCCTTGCCCCTCACAACCTCTTATAATTTTGTGTATCATTAAAGGTCTCCTACCATTTCCATATGCTTTCCCTTCTCTCTCCCTTTCTCTCCCCCCATTCGTCTTTGTTTACTCTTAGTCTTTTCCTCATGTTCTTCCTTCCTATTCTGTTCTTAGTTGCTCTCTTTATATCAAAGAAGACATTTGGCATTTGTTTTTTTGGGCTTGGCTAGCTTCACTTAGCATAATCTGCTCTAATGCCATCCATTTCCCTGCAAATTCTATGATCTTGTCATTTCTTAGTGCTGCATAATACTCCATTGTGTATAGATGCCACATTTTTTTTTAATCCATTCATCTATTGAAGGGCATCTTGAGAAGCAATCTACTTGAGGTTACTGCAGGGGGGGTAGAGACATTTCTACCTGGAAACTTTTAAGTGAGGAATCTGCAAGATTAGCCTAAGAGTTAGATTTGCTAGAAATCAGTGAGCCAGGTTGTCACTGGACCAGTGATGACAGCGGTTGCCCTTTATTGAGTTTATAAGCACAAAGCAAAATGCTTTACAGACTTCTTTTCACTTATCCCTCATGCCTGCTCAGTGAGATGAATATTCTTAATTCATCAGGTACGGAAATAGAGCCTTTAAGAGAGGAAGGCACTGATTTAAGGTCAGATAGCCAAATTCCAACTCAGGCCTATCTGACTCCCAAATTCCTTTACTGTTTACACTCTGCTACTCTGCGAATAGTTTGTGGTCTATGCTGCCAAACTGATATTGTAGAAAGCCTGGGATGTTCATGAATTCACTTATGTATACATACATCTACTCCACACATATTTACTGAATATCTCCTGGATATCAAGTACTAAAAAGCCCCAATTTTAGGAACATAGAAACAAATAGTGACCAGGAGCTGTGTTAGTTTTTTGTCACCGTGACACATATCTCAGAAACTCAACTTAGAGGAGGAAAGATTTATTTGGGTTCACAGTCTCAGAAGTTTCAGTGCATGGTCAGAAGGGTCCAAGGCAGAAACATCATGGTGGAAGGTGTTGTGGAACAAAGCTGCTCATCTCATGGCATCCAGGAAGCAGAAAGAGAGAGAAAGGGGGTAAAATAGTGCACAGAACACATCCCAGTGACCTAATGCCTCCTGTTTTGCCCCACATCCTACAGTTTCCACCACCTTTCAGTCATTCATTCAGCTATAATTTATCAATGGATGAATCCACTGATGAGGTCAGAGTGCTCACGATCCAACCACTTCCCCAAATTCCCATCTGTGAACATTGCTTCACTGGGGAACAAGCCTTTAACACATGAGCCTTTGGGAGACATTCCAGATCCAAACCATACAGGAGCTAAAAAAAAAAAAGGGTTTATTGTTTGCTATTGTGCTCAGTGGATAGTGACATCATGGGCTGTGAAACTTTTCCCCAAACTGAGGCACAAGGCAGGAGTCAGTGTGTGGCAAGGGACTTCCACAAAGTAAGGGGCCCACACAGGGCAAAGGACTTGAGCCTGTAATGCAAAAATCACACACAAGGTTAAGAAGCTTTTCACAAGCTTTCACAAGCAGGCACATGCACAAGGTCAGGTTTCTGCATTAGATAGGAGCCACTTTTTCACTCTAAGATGATCCAAGAACAGGAGATTCCAGGCACATAATCTTGAGACGATGCTTCCACGTCTGCATTTTGTAGAATCTCTCAAGGATCCTTCACACAAATTAGTCCCTTGTGCTCCAGGCTGCTCTCTGTCCTCTTTCAGGAGGAGGGGCTGCACTTACAGCATGGCTTCTTGCTTCCAACGCCTTGCTCTCACAAAGCCAAAATCGATACCCAGTCCTGCTGGCTTTCATTCTGTGGAACCAGCTGCTTCACTACCCACCCATTCCCTTCTCTCATTTCTCTGTTTCCTTGTGGGAGACAGGGACATTTCTTCTGAGAGTGCCTCCAAAAAAAAATCTGTACTTAAGGAGGGGATGAGGCATTGTGGAAAATAAGCTGAGAGTTTTTATGGTGCTCGTTTTTTAGACCATTTTCTTTCCTGCTTAAATTCCCATTGAGGAATTTTTGTTCTTTCATTTTATATCTGTATCCTGGACAACAGTCTCAATGTCATCATGCAGACCTTCCCTGGAGCCTTCCTCCTTCTCCTGGCTATTACTGAAGCCCACTGATCTGCCCTGAATGAGGAATGAAAGATGATCTTTCCTGCTTGTCTATCTGCAGGTACTTATCAAGGTTACATGTGACTTTTAACTCCCTGGGTCTTGTTTTCCAGGTTTCCTTTGGAGGTCAGTATTGTGCTCAACTGATGATAGAAATATAATGAAATCTTCATGATCAGCATGATCATAGATATCCAGATGGATAACACTGAACCCTTGCAAAAGGAGCTCTTTAAGATTTATCTTACCTGGGTCAGATTGAAACCCTGGTCCCTGATTTGGAAGAATTGATGGGGTAGAACTTTTCAGAGATGGACCCTTTTGAGAAGTCATTAGGTCATTGGGGGTGCTACACTTGGAAAGGATTAGCATAGTTCTCATGGGACTCCAATAGCTATCTGAGAATGGACAGTGCAGGCCTGATCCCTGAATCTATCTGGCTGCCTGTTTTACTCTGTGGGTGTCTCTTTTCATGTACTCCCACAATGATGCCATCCACCATTTTATGATTCAGACAAGGGGGTCCTTGTCAGAGGCAGAATCCATGGGGTCACCTGGTTTGGGTATCTCAACCTCCAAAACTGTGAACTCAATAAGCCTTTTTCATTATAAACCATCAGATATTTTGTTACAGTGCAGGAACCATGAACCTCTGATGCTTCAATGTGGTGATCAAAAAATTGTAATGTAGAAGACGGACACTTTGGCTCAGCTGAACCCATGGTTGCTTGCTGAGTCTGGTTCTGCCTTCCTCAGCTCTGTAACCCTTGGCACTGCTGGGTCCAGGCTAATGATTCTACTAGCATGTTAATGGTAAGGAAGTTTGTGGCCCAACTAATTGGTGATGTTAGTGTGTCCCAAACTTGGATGTGATGATAGATGTTTATGAAGGCAACTCATGGTAATTACAGTAAGTGAGCTATGTGAGCCTGAGTTGTTAAGTGGCTTCCTGGGGATAGGGATGCTCTGAGTGGCAGTACTGTGTGGTGTATTAAGCTGCAACACCTCAGTCCAACCTCCTGTTTCAGTTTTTTGCCACACTATTGTTGATAGTATTTTCTCCAAACACTCATCTCAGATAATAATATGTACAGTTAAGTAGACTCTGAAAATTTCATATCAAGCAACAAGAGTTTTCCTGGAAAGGAGACTGAGGGTCATTGAAATTGTTTGACTTATCATCCTCCTTGTTCCAGACTTACTAGGACCCAAGACCCAATTTTCTGGCAAATTCAAAACCTTTGTTAGTGTAAATAATTAGAGAAGTCCATAGTTTGTCTTAAAGACAATAAAAAGAGCACAAGTCCACTTAAAATGCTGCTTCAAGCTCTACCAAAACAAATTTCGAGTAACCTTCTCCACAGACTCTGATCTCTTACCTGCCCCCCGCCTTTTTTTTCAGTATCATATTCAGGCATGACAATTATTTGGGAAAGAATTGCTCATTTCAGCATGCCTCTTGGTAAAAAGGCAAGGAGAACTTTATTCACAACTTTCCTGTGAGAATTGTAGTTCAATAGTTAGATTCTGAGCTGGGGTGTCTTTGGTTTAACATCCTAACTTGTGGGTCTTTAGTTCAACTGAACTTTGGAGTTCTCAGAGTCCTTACATCCTTCAAGGAAATATTAAAAGCAGAACTAGTGTGTCAAACACAGGTACCTAGTGAAGCTTGAAAAATCTAATTTTGCAGGAGGGCATCTTCATATAAGTGTTGCTGTTCTGTTGTGAAGCAAGTCAACTCTTGGCTGAGGAGGGAAATCAGCTTCATTTCAATCTTGAGCTATACACAATTTCGAGTCCAAATAGATATAGCTTGAGTTTGTTTTTTCCCTGTCATTACTACCCGGTCCAGTGTTTCCATTTTAAAAGGTGTGCATGTGGACTGAACCAAAGCAGGGATTATTGAAAATACAGTGTTGAGTGATTTCATTTAAATGGCCCCAATATCATTGCCTTGTAGTTAGTTGTGTACTCTTAGTAAAGCATACAGATTTGACTGGGCCTAGAATTTTTCCTGTCAGCTATCATAATAATAATATGGTGCATTTGCATGACCATGTATGCTTTCCCAGATGCTTTTCCACTTGTCACTTGGTTTGCTCCCTCCTTTCCCTGGGGAATGTGGAACACTGACTCGGGGCCCAATGTCTGTCTTAAGTAGGGCTCCTTCTTCTGTGTAGACTCAGCTTCTTTGTGTGCACACTGGGTGCTTATACGTGGTTGCTGATTCAACATTTGGTAAACAGTATTTGAAAATAAACTAAATGGCCTAATATTAGATGTTGGTAATTTTCCCTGTGAAACATGCATATATTGAGTATAACTAAGAGCCTCTTAGATTTATCTGATACTTTACCACGTAGAAGGCTAGCTCCTATCCTCCCCTTATCCAAGTGTTGCCAGGGAAAAGGTAGAGCCTCTCCTGCATAGATACAGAGCATATCTTTGGGATAGATTCTAGATATACTCCTTTAAAGAGCTTGTACTTTCTCTATGCAGTGAGTGCTCATCTTTGGGAAAGGAGGAGTGTGAAATTTTCACTGTTAGAAAATCAGAATTTGGATAGGAACCTAGTCCTGTGATTCCCTAGTCATGTTCTTTTTAATTACTTGAGCTTTTAGAATTGGTATAAGCATCTAGCACAACCACTGGTGCTGCTGTCACTCAGCCTTTGGGGCCAGCTTTCACTAATGGCAAACTCTCCTTCCTCTCCTTATTTTTGTCTGGTGTGATGTCTCACACAAAGGGTCAGTGTCAGCAATGTGTAAGCCCAGAAGTGGAGGAGGGGCAGAGCTGAGATGCTGGCTCAGAATTGGACTGTAGGCTTGGACTGGTTAGAGCCACAGCAGCAGCTGGTGTCCTGGAGAGGATGAAGGGGTTGGGAGGCAGAAAGGAACACAGTTAAAATTCTCTGCCACTGCTCAAACATATCCCCAGGGGAAGTCACGAAGTCAGGGAATGTATGACTGTGTGATTTTGTTTTTCTTCATCCTTCCCCTCCCTTTCTCTTTTTATTCTACCAAATGCAAATCAATAGATGTGTATTCAGAGTCCAACAAGAAGACAAGGAGAGAAGAGCAGCCTTTTCATTCAGAGAAGTGTACGGGAAAGGCCCCTCCACACAGGGAGGGAAAGAGTGCAGGAAATGGCAGTGGAAAGAGAAAGGAAGAATAAATCCAGGGATAGGACAGTGGACTGCCATCTAGGCAGGAGTCTGGAGTGAACATTCAGCTGTACCTCTTCACTCAATGTGGTTAGGCGTCCTTTCTTCACTCTATTCCTCACCTTGAAAAAGAGAGAATGATTCCCCCCACACACTAAATAGGATATTTCAAATCTTTCATGAGAACTGTTCAGGGGGATATATTTTTGTATAAAGTCAAAAATCTGGTGCCACTGTCTCCACAGAGTTTTTCCTCAGTATGCATGGAGGATGGGAAATTGATTTCAGGATTCTCTATAGGTTCTCTATATACCAAGATCCATGGTTGCTCAAGCCCCATATTAAAAAAAAAAAATGGTGTAGTGTTTGCATATAAGTTATGTACATCTTCCTATAAACTTAAAATCATCATTAGATTACTTATAATACTTAATACAATGTAAATGCTCTGAAAGTTGTTGTTATACTGGATCATTCAGGGAATAATTAATACTTAATGCAATGTAAATGCTCTGAAAGTAGTTGTATCATTCAGGGAATAATGACAAAATAACCTGTCCGTGTTCAGTACAAGCATAGTTTTTTTTTTTCTGAATATTTTTATTTTGGTTAATTGAATCCATGGATGTGGAAACTGTGGATACAGAGGACCAATTGTATTTAGCTAAAATTGGATCAGGCATACACGTCTAAGTAGAAGGCTTTATGATGATGTGAGCTTTGTTATTACTTCTTTGTTATTTTTCTATTATTATAGATTTATTCTGGAGTAAATCTATCCATTTTGGGGGACTGCGAGTGAACTAGAGAGTGCTGACATGACTAGAAATAACAATAACTGAAAAGAATATTAATGTTGGGGTTGGTGATAGGAAAGACTGGTATATTAGGATATATGTGTTCTAGTCCTGGATTCATCTTTGATTTGTTGGTCTTTGGGGCATATCTTTTCATCTCAATTCCTTTTTCTCTCTCTGGTAAGTGAAGGTAAATCCCTTTTCTGTGCTACTTCGCATGGGGGTGAAACAAATAAATGAGATTATAAACACCCACATCTTCAATGTTCCCCTCAACAGCAGCAGCTTATATTTTGTTTACACCAGTTTGTGCATGAAATTTGTTGGATACTGGAAACATTGTCCAATATCCTAGTATTTTGAAAATTGTGTCTGTCATCTTTTCTGCTTCATGACTATTAAGGGCATGAACTCAGGTGCAATTAATCTTGGAAGGCTACCTCCAGTGTCTTCTCAAATTTCTCAAAAATGATAGCAAAGGATTCAAAAGGTCTAAATCTCAAGGATAAAAAAAATGGAAGAGGAAATAAAAGTGCAAGAGATGGAATTTCCCTTTGAAAAGGGAAAAGAATGGGTGACAACTGATTTAGTGAAGAAAGTTGAGATTTAAGTGTCTAAAGAAAGATGTGACACATAGAGCTAAGCAGATTTATACCACTGAGCCCATCTTGGGAGGAGAGATAAAGAGTACCTTGGAAGGCAGAAATGAGGAGGGCTGACAGCAATGAATTCATCAAAAATCTGTGTCAAACAATACTCACTTCCAGAATTCTGATTCTCCCAAGTTAACATGAATGATTTTTTGAAGGAATTGAAAAAT